CACCTTTTGGCGCGTTCCAAAATTTTTTTTTGATAGCACCTCGTAGAAAGAAAAATTAAATAAAAAATAATAAACAACTAAAATAAAATTGAGCAAAAACCATCATAACCAAAACAGTAAAAAAAAAAAAAAAAAAGTTAAAATCGCGTCATCGATGTCATTGATTTTTTTTCCCCACAATAAATGTAAAAAAAACACAAACTTTTCTTTGAAGCGCAGTTGTCTAAACTTAGATAACCCCTTTAAGGCTGACCGATTTCGGCTTTTAATTCGGTCACGGGTAACACCGCGTGACCGTCGGGCCCCGGAGACGAGTACACTTTACGAGGCCGTCGTCCTTTTTTTTTTCCTGCTCGCCGCCCCCGCCTTGCGTTTTACTTTGTAGGATCATGAAGACTCTTGTTCCACTTGCAGCGTGGGGGCGCGCAGGGTCATTTTCGGAGACGTGATATTGACCAGCGACGTCTGCGGGAGATGAAAAAAGAAACAAAAACAAAAAAAACCCAGTTTTTTTTATTACATTCTATGTTCTTAGCGGCACGACCAGGAATATGGAGCTCGCCGCGCTCTTTATACAACTCGCTCAGAGGAAACAGGCCGCCGTTTATGATCTATGGCGCTGGTGTCCCTGCGTGACTCATCTCCGCAATGTGTGGGTGAGGAAACGCGATAAATGCCATCGGAGAGAATGGTTCACGCGTGGAGCGACACCAGACGCCAACAATCCCAGAATCCTTCACTCCTCGGCCAGACTGGCAACTCTTCGATTCCAGGCGGATAAAATAGACAATAAAGCAGCGCTGGGTTCATGAATATGCCCATGAGGACCCTTTCACTTGGTCAGTAAAAACACCCAGCTGACCGCCCACCTGGAGCTGTAGGGGAATACACCCATGAGGACCTTTTCACTTGGTCAGTAAAAACACCCAGCTGACTGCCCATCTGGAGCTGGAGGGGAATGCACCCAGGAAGACCCTTTCACTTGGGCAGTAAAAATACCCAGCTGACCACCCACCAGGAGATGGAGCAGGATACACCCATGAGGACCCTTTCACTTGGGCAGTAAAAAACACCCCGCTGACCGCCCACCTGGAGCAGGATACACCCATGAGGACCCTTTCACTTGGGCAGTAAAAACACCCCGCTGACCGCCCACCTGGAGCTGGAGGGGAATGCACCCATGAGGACCCTTTCACTTGGGCAGTAAAAACACCCCGCTGACCGCCCACCTGGAGCTGGAGGAGAATACACCCATGAAGACCTTTTCACTTGGGCAGTAAAAACACCCAGCTGACAGCCCACCTGGAGCTGGAGGGGAATGCACCCATGAGGACCCTTTCACTTGGGCAGTAAAAACACCCAGCTGACTGCCCACCTGGAGCTTGAGAGGAATGAACCCATGAGGACCCTTTCATTTGGGCAGTAAAAACACCCAGTTGACCACCCACCAGGAGCTGGAGGGAAATGCACTCATGAGGACCCTTTCACTAGGGCAGTAAAAACACCCAGTTGACCACCCACCAGGAGCTGGAGGGAAATGCACCCATGAGGACCTTTTCACTTGGGCAGTAAAAACACCCAGCTGACTGCCCACCTGGAGCTGGAGGGGAATAAACCCATGAGGACCCTTTCACTTGGGCAGTAAAAACACCCTGCTGACTGCCCACCTGGAGCTGGAGGAAAATGCACCCATGAGGACCTTTTCACTTGGGCAGTAAAAACACCCAGTTGACCGCCCACCTGGAGCTGGAGAGGAATGAACCCATGAGGACCCTTTCATTTGGGCAGTAAAAACACCCAGCTGACCACCCACCAGGAGCTGGAGAGGAATGCACCCATGAGGACCCTTTCACTTGGCCAGTAAAAACACCCCGCTGACCGCCCACCTGGAGCTGGAGGGGAATGCACCCATGAGGACCCTTTCACTTGGGCAGTAAAAACACCCAGCTGACCGCCCACCTGGAGCTGGAGAGGAATAAACCCATGAGGACCCTTTCACTTGGGCAGTAAAAACACCCCGCTGACCACCCGCCTGGAGCTGGAGGGGAATAAACCCATGAGGACCCTTTCACTTGGGCAGTAAAAACACCCAGCTGACCGCCCACCTGGAGCTGGAGGGGAATAAACCCATGAGGACCCTTTCACTTGGGCAGTAAAAACCCCCCACTGACCGCCCATCTGGAGGGGAATGCACCCATGCTGCCGCCGGGGAAGAGAGTAGTAAGAACTACACCAGATAAGAAAGAGGCAGCCATTTAAAAAAAAATGGAAGAAGTATGCACCAGATTTTGGTCTCAACCCCTATACAGAAGAGCTCAAACTGGGAGTGGGAAAAGGCGGCACAGGGGTCTAGCTATTTGTGCTGCAGTGCTCATGAGATAACAAGAAGCATGCTGATAGGAGGAGAGAGCAGAGTGACAGAGAGAGAAGTCATCAGTCTGGTTGGGGGGGGGGGGGTCGACCCAAGAAATCTACAAGCTACCCTCCTGCTGCCCACACAACACATGCAGGGCAAAAGATGCCAACACGTTTCGGGGGGAGGCACAATTCCCCTTCATCAGGGCAGGGAGAAATGGCAGAAAGTCCATTGCCACCTCTACTGTGAACACCAGAACTGATTGTTTATAACCTCCTCTGCCTGCAGGAGTACTCTTGAGCCCATTGACCTTTTCACCATTTCACCCAACCCTGATGAAGCGGGATTGCATGGCCTCGAAACATGTTGGAATCTTTTGCCCTGCTTGTTTCAACGAGCTGAATAATATAGACTTTGGACTCCTTAAGGAATCTTCATTTGGAATTCTCTTTGACCTGCAACACTTAGCAAAATAACAGTCATTCCACGCCGTCCACACAACACATGCAGCGCAAGACATACCAACGCGTTTTGGGGGTCCACACAATCCTCCATCAGGGCTGGGTGAAATTACGGAATGGTAAATGGATTCAAAAGTACTCCTTACAGGCAGAAGATGTGATAGACAGTCAGTGATGGTGTTCACAAAAGTCTGGATGAAGTAGGGATCGTGTGGCCCCCGAAATGCGTTGGAGGACTTTTGCCCAGCTTGTAACCAGCTGAACTATACAGACTATGGAGTCCTAAGGCTTTTTCATTTGCTGCTCTCTTTGACCCAATTTCATTTCCTGGGGGGGGGGGGGGGGGGGGGTCCCTGTTTTTGTGATGAGATGCCAAATACCGTCCAAGTAATGGTTTAGTCCACATGATAACCTGTGAAAATGCATGTTTGATACCCCTCTACAACTACCATGCTTGTCTCAGCAACATGTCCGCAAGGCCCCGCAATGTCCTGGTACTGGAGTCTGGGTTCCTGTCCTGGTACTGGGGTCTGAGTTCATGTCCTGGTACTGAGGTCTGGGTTCATGTCCTGGTACTGAGGTCTGGGTTCATGTCCTGGTACTGGGGTCTGAGTTCATGTCCTGGTACTGGGGTCTGGGTTCATGTCCAGGTACTGGGGTCTGAGTTCATGCCCTGGTGCTGGGGTCTGGGTTCATATCTGGGTAAAGGATTCAAATTCTGGCAGTGGAGCACTGGGTTCATATCCTGGAACTGGAGTACTGGGTTAATATCTTGGTACTGGGTCTGGGTTCATACCCTGGTACTGGATTCTGGATTCATGTCTCGATACAAGAGTACTGGATTCTTTTCCTGGTACTAGAATACTGGGTTCATGCCCTGGTACTGGATTCTTGCCCTGGTACTGGAGTATTGGGTTCATGTCCTGGCACTGATGTCTGGGTTCATGTCCTGGTACTGGGGTCTTGGTTCATGTCCTGGTACTGGGGTCTTGGTACTGGGGTCTGGATTCATGTCCTGGTACTGGGGTCTGGGTTCATGTCCCGGCGCCGGGGTCTGGGTTCATGTCCTGGCACTGGGGTCTAGGTTCATATGTTTGATGCCCCTCTACCACTACCATGTCTCAGCAACATGTCCGCAAGGCCACATGCAGGGGTTCAGGTGACAACGAAGGACTACAATTAGGAGTGTTGTCACCCCCAAACAGCAATAGCCTCCACCAAGCCCTCTGTAGCCGGATCGCCATTTATTCCTTTGGCAGCGGAATTAAAAAGAAGAAGAAATGTACGCGAGATTTTACAGAAAGGCTTTAAATCTACAGGAACCGTTTTTCTGGCCAGCTCTGAGCAGTGAAAAGGCCTTAATTCCACCGCCGGCGATTGTCAGCCGCAGGCAGGCCGTCTCCCCCCTCTGGGCTTACAGCGGCTGGCGTGTCACACTCGCAAAAGACGGCCAGCGGGATTTAATAAAGACCTTGACAGGACGCGCTGCGCTTTATAAAAAGGAAAGACGTCGCAGGGGTCGCGGCTGTCGCTTGACAGGCTTAGTCCTTGAGGGATTACAGAGCCTGAGAGACGGACCTGATGATACCAGGCAGCTCATTTACAAGCAGGCGAGTTCCGGGGCAACATGACGCAGGAAAAGAACGCGGCTCGTCGCCTACACGTTGACCCCGGGACATTGTAAAGAGCTATACAGCGCAGGGCGCGCAGCAATGGGGCTGAAATCCTTCCAAAAAGATTTGTTAATGTGCTGCATTATTACCCCCCCTCAAAAAAAAAAAATTATGATACAATATTGGCTCCAGTATCAATATAATAGCACATTAGTAAGACACAAATGCAACTGTGTAACTATTAAAGTGTTAGTAAACCCCCACAGTACAATCATTCTGTAGATGCAGCAAAGCATGCTGGTTATACTCACTGTGGAACCTAAGGGGTTAATCCCCTGCATGGTGCAAAAAGGCTGTTTGATCCTGTCTTCTCTACCCCTCCTCTTGTTCAAATGTCCACCTGATAAGACAGACTGAACCTAATCTGCTCAGATTAGTGTGTATTGCTAGAGGTTTTTTTTCTTTTTCATTGGAGAGTGCATGTGATCAGCACAGGGCCAATCAGCATTGTCCAGACAGAGAGTCAGGGGTCCTGCATCCTCCTAGAGCAGAAAGAAAACTCCTCCTACAAGCTTTAACCAGGGTTCCAGGGTCCGGGGAGAGCGGATACAGTGAATGCGGGGTCCGTGCAGAGCGGATATAGTGAATGCGGGGGGCCGGGGAGAGCGGATACAGTGAATGCGGGGTCCGGGGAGAGCGGATACAGTGAATGCGGGGTTCGGGGAGAGCAGATACAGTGAATGCGGGGTCCGGGGAGAGCGGATATAGTGAATGCGGGGTCCGGGGAGAGCGGATATAGTGAATGCGGGGTCCGGGGAGAGCGGATATAGTGAATGCGGGGTCCGGGGAGAGCGGATATAGTGAATGCGGGGTCCGGGGAGAGCGGATATAGTGAATGCGGGGGTCCGGGGAGAGCGGATACGGTGAATGCGGGGTCCGGGGAGAGCGGATACGGTGAATGCGGGGTCCAGGGAGAGCGGATACGGTGAATGCGGGGTCCGGGGAGAGCGGATATGGTGAATGCGGGGCCCAGGGTTTAGTAACACTTTAAATGTAAGTACTTCAATCTAACCTTGCAGCCTTTGTAAAGCAGAGCTCAGACTGGGGGGAGGGAGAAGCAGCACAAGGAGATAACCAGTTCAGAAGCATGCTGATAGGAGAAGAGAGCAGAGTGACGAGAGAGGAGCTTATCACTGTGCTGCTTCTCCTTTTTCTGTTCTGAGTTCAGGTCCTGGTATTGGATTACTGCATTCACATCTTCGTACTGGGGTCTGGGTTCATATCCTGGTAATGGATTAATTAATTAATATCCTGGTCCTGGAGTACCGGGTTCATATCCTTGTAGTGGAGTACCGGGTTCATATCCCGGTACTGGATTCATATCCTGGTCCTGGATTTATGCCCTGGAGCACAGGGTTCATATCCTGGTCCTGGAGTACCGGGTTCATATCCTGGTACTATATTCATATCCTGGTACTGGATTCATATTCTGGCACTGTAGTACTGGGCTCATACACTGGTACTGGATCTGGGTTCATACCCTGGTACTGGAGTACTGGATCTGGGTTCATACCCTGGTACTGGAGTACTGGATCTGGGTTCATACACTGGTACTGGATCTGGGCTCATACACTGGTACTGGAGTACTGGATCTGGGTTCATACACTGGTACTGGAGTACTGGATCTGGGTTCATACACTGGTACTGGATCTGGGTTCATACCCTGGTACTGGATCTGGGCTCATACACTGGTACTGGAGTACTGGATCTGGGCTCATACACTGGTACTGGAGTACTGGATCTGGGCTCATACACTGGTACTGGAGTACTGGATCTGGGTTCATACACTGGTACTGGATCTGGGTTCATACCCTGGTACTGGAGTACTGGATCTGGGTTCATACCCTGGTACTGAAGTACTGGATTCACCTCCTACCAGGGACACACCATCTGACTCTTCTCCCAGCAGGCCAGTACTGGGGTCACCAAGGCAGAAGAGGAAGCCCCCAACCCATACCATCATGTGGGCATCTATAGCTGAATCAAGGAAAGGTGGAGCAGAGGACGAGAGTATTTCCAAGACTCTCTGAAGCTCAGTCAGCCATTTACATTGCAGATCTCCGACCGATGGACCGCACAGCCCCACTGACAGACAGATCTGCGGGAACGCTCAGTCACGAAGCACGCCATTGTACCGGCACAGCGAGGGTTTCCGATGTAATGGCATGCACAGCGTTCTAACATTTGTCGCCGACAGCAGGAGCACGCCACTGGAGCAGGAATGTTCGCAAAATGCCATCAGGAAATGAAATCCCAGACATTCGATTGATTCTTCGTCCCTTTTATTATTAAGCTCGGCCTTCAGAACACTCTCTGCGCTTATCATCTATTGTTTGCGTAATTCTGCAATTACTGCGTCTCCAACAAAAGAAGAGCGGCCGTTCACGACAAACGCCAACCCATGTGATGTCACCAGAACACTTGACATCGATCTTCGTTATAAAAGTGAGCGGATGGGCGAAAAAAAAAATATATATTTGTACATAAGCAATGCAACAGTTTTATCTCCTAAAAAAGGAAAGGAAATTTGATTTACGTGCAAATTCCATATCCTGGAGTACAACACGGAACACGGGCTTGAATGGGGTGGGGGGGTTATAGGACTCAGAGAATGGGGTGGGGGGCTATAGGACTCAGAGAATGGGGTGGGGAGGGTTATAGGACTCAGAGAATGGGGTAGGGGGGGGTTATAGGACTCAGAGAATGGGGTGGGGGGGTTATAGGACTCAGAGAATGGGGTAGGGGTTATAGGACTCAGAGAATGGGGTGGGGGGGTTATAGGACTCAGAAAATGGGGTGGGGGGTTATAGGACTCAGAGAATGGGGTGGGGGGGGGGGGGTTATAGGACTCAGATAATGGGGTGGGGAGGGTTATAGGACTCAGAATGAGGTAGGGGGTTATAGGACTCAGAGAATGGGGTGGGGGGGGGGGGTTTTGGACTCAGAGAATGGGGTGGGAAGGGGTTATAGAACTCAGAGAATGGGGTTGGGGGGGTTATAGGACTCAGAGAATGGGGTTGGGGGGTTATAGGACTCAGAGAATGGGGGGGGTTATAGGACTCAAGAGAATGGGGTGGGGGGGTTATAGGGCTCAAGAGAATGGGGGGGGGGGGGTATAGGACTCAGAGATGGGGTGGGGGGGTATATGACTCAGAATGGGGTGGGGGGATTATATGACTCAGAGAATGGGGTGGGGGGGGGGTATATGACTCAGAATGGGGTGGGGGGGTTATATGACTCAGAGAATGGGGTGGGGGGGTATATGACTCAGAATGGGGTGGGGGGGTTATATGACTCAGAGAATGGGGTGGGGGGTATAGGACACAGAGATGGGGTGGGGGGGTATATGACTCAGAATGGGGTGGGGGGGTTTATATGACTCAGAGAATGGGGTGGGGGGGTATAGGACTCAGAGATGGGGTGGGGGGGTATATGACTCAGAATGGGGTGGGGGGGTATAGGACTCAGAGATGGGGTGGGGGGGTATAGGACTCAGAGATGGGGTGGGGTTATAGGGGAATGCGGCCATGTTGGGCCAATGCCTTTACTTACCTTCCCTGAGGATGGATACCTTTCCACGCTGCAACAAAAGGATTCATTTTATTGATGGTGAAAGCGTTCACCACACTGCGTCCAAGTTTATGGCGGGGAATCTATTTGGGATTGAAACAGTCTTACAAGTTCATAGTCCAGCACTTATCCTGAAGAAGTCGAGGAACGTGGAAACGTGTCGATGTTGAGTGCGGTTATCAAGATCATGACACCTAAAGTTGATTGGAACTTCATTTACCGTATATGGCATCGGTTTTCCATTTTAAAAAAAAGTCTTTTAACTGATGTGTTGTATATTTTGTTTGTGGAAATTAAATGATACATTGTATGCCGATGCATTACATGTGATATATGTGATATTTGTCCTCAGGACGTACATTTAAAGCCCCATATTATATTTCCGTCCCATGTCAGGATGGGTATTGGTAATACTGCTCTCAGTATGAATGAACAGATGGATGAGTAGAGATGAATGGATTGATAGATGAGTAGACACGGATGGATGGATAGAGGAGTAGACACGGATGGATGGATGGATAGATGAGTAGACACGGATGGATGGAGGAGTAGACATGGATGGATGGATAGATGAGTAGACACGGATGGATGGAGGAGTAGACATGGATGGATGGATAGATGAGTAGACACGGATGGATGGAGGAGTAGACATGGATGGATGGATAGATGAGTAGACATGGATGGATGGATAGAGGAGTAGACATGGATGGATGGAGGAGTAGACATGGATGGATGAGCAGAGAGGAAGGAAGGGTAGATATGAATAGACGGATGAGTAGAGATGCATGGATTAAAGGATGGATGAGAAGAGATGGATGAACGGATAGATGAGTGGACATGGATGGATGGATAGATGAGTGGACATGGATGGATGGATAGATGAGTGGACATGGATGGATGGTTAGATGAGTAGACAAGAAGGAAGGGTACATATGAATAGATGGATAAAAGGATAGATGAGTAGAGATAACTGGATGGATGAGTAGAGATGGATGGATGGATATATATATAGAGGAGTATCGATCGATGGATAGATGAAAGGACGGAGGAGCAGGGATGGATGAGTAGAGATGAATAGATGGATAGATAGAGGAGTAATGATGGATGAAAGGATGGAGGAGCAGGGATGGATGAGTAGAGATGAATGGATGGATAGATAGAGGAGTAATGATGGATGAAAGGATTGTGGAGCAGGGATGGATGAGTAGAGATGAATGGATGGATAAAAGGATAGATGAGTAGAGATAACTGGATGGATGAGTAGAGAAGGAAGGATTGATAGATAGAGGAGAGGGGTAACGATGGATGGATGACAGGATGGAGCAGCAGGGATGGATGGATGAGTAGAGATGAATGGATGGATAGATAGAGGAGTAATGATGGATGGATGACAGGATGGAGCAGCAGGGATGGATGAGTAGAGATGAATGGATGGATAGAAAGAGGAGTAATGATGGATGAAAGGATGGAGGAGCAGGGATGGATGAGTAGAGATGGATGGATGGATAGATAGAGGAGTAATGATGGATGGATGACAGGATGGAGCAGCAGGGATGGATGAGTAGAGATGAATGGATGGATAAAAGGATAGATCAGTAGAGATGCATGGATGGATACATAGATGGATGGATAAGAACATATGGATGAGTAGAGATGGACGGATCGATTGGTAGAGATGGATGAAAGAGGATGGATGGATGGACAAAACTTCTAGATGCAGACCCTCTTGTCCATTGGCACAATGTAACCTCTAGCCGACACCATTATGAACTCTGTAATCCCGGCAAAGAGGCAGAACAGGAGCTGCAGATGGATTCTTAATCCATTAATTTCCGAATCATAACAAACACACACACAAGGTCGTGTTTTGCGGTGGAGTCCTCGGCTTTCATTACTACTAAAGTGCAGCGTTGCGAATGTAAACACACAGAGTATGAAGTCAAAGCTCTCACCGGCATAATAGATTGAGGGGTCTGCTGGGTCATCCAAACCAGAAAAACATTTTCCCATAAAACGCGAACAATAATCCCCTCCAGGCTCAGGCAATAAACAGTCATAACGATGACAGACCGGGACCTTTCCTGACATACCTGCTGCCTTCAGCGTGTGGAGGCAATTATTTTACAGCAAACAAACAACATGACTGATCGCTGTATGAAGCAAATTATATTCTGCGCCAATGAAAAGAACATTTTACGGGAAACTTTCTGAAACTGTGCATGAATGGCACTTAAAATGTAATCGGAGTTTTAAATATTATAAACTGATAAAAAAAAATGATTACATATTAAAAAGGGGTTCAGTAGGGTTGAGGTCCAGGCTCTGTGGAGGACACTCAAGTTCCTCCACACCAAACTGGACAAACCGTGTCTTTATGGAGCTGGCTTTGCACACGGGCATGGTCAGGGTGGTGAAGACCCTCTTTTGCTCCACCATGACTGTGCCCCTGTGTACAAAGCCAGCTCCATAAAGACATGGTTTGACCAGCCTGGAGTGGAGGAACGTGAGTGTCCTGCACAGAGCCTGGACCTCAACCCTACTGAACGACTTCGG